ATTTTTAAATTTTAGTTCTTTTAAGTTAAAATTCTCCATCTCTCTAGGTATTATTTTTTGAATGGTGTTAACCTGCTGAAGTTTTGCCAGAATGGCGCCTGGCTGCGTCTGGGTTCGGTGAACTCGAAGACCTGGGACTGGGATATGCCATCTGTCACCATGTATTGTCCCTGATTTAATGGATCCTGGGGTGGTGGGTAGGCTGGAGGAACCGACTTGGAGTAGCTCACACCTGCATCGATGATTGGGGGGAAAAAGAAACAGATCAGTCAAAGTGCAATTGGGTCAATAGTCTTTCTTCGTCATGCTATCGCTTCTTATCACTTAATAACCAGGGTCCCAAACAACAGGGAGATGTGCTAGAGACGGCAGATCTACGGAGGAACGCAGCAGCTGCCTAAACTCTCAGCTCAGAGGCTACCTATGCTAGACCACGAGTTGAAGCTTTGGAAAAGATCCATCACTTTTGTACTGGCAGAGTTTTGCCTGCCCTCATGGAAAAGTCCTGCGTGACCTAACGAGGCACGAGCGTGGCCAGGCCGTATGCAGTATCAATCTGCTCAGACGAAGGCAGACAACCGCATCGTTCAACCCGCTCGCAAATTTAACGCTTGCTGTTGCCAAGCTCGTTTTCACCCTCCCTCCCAGCTACGCTCGGAAAGCATTTTTGCCCCGACATGCCCCGGTGACCAGCCCCGAGCAGCGCGACCCCGAGGACCGCTCGGCGCCGGTTCCTGCACCAGAACGGAGCAGAGCTGCTTCGGAGGAAGCGCTACGCTGCAGGCACCCGCGCCGCTTCGGCGCCGTTCTGCCTATGCAAAGGGCAACTCACTCCTTGCTTTAAGAAAGTTGGTAGGACTTTTCCATAGGGTTCGGTTTTTCAATTTACCAGTTTGGTTTCAGCCAAAAACGGCTGCACGCAACGCAGCAAAGGCCGATTCTGCTCAATCCAAACTGGTAGCAATGGATGGACTGGCAAGGCTACGCTTTCAGGTTCTAGATGCAGAATTCCCACATACGTGAGTCACAGCTCCTCTGCAGGAACAGGGTGAGGGGACGCTGCCCTTACAGCCTTCCCGTGGAAAGGGGGAGCTTCGGCAAGCTGGGACCTACGCGACCCGTTGTAAAGGATGGTGTAGAAAGGGCGGCTCCGGGTGAATGGAAGTGGAACAGAAGGGAGGCATGTCCCCACCGAAGTGTGGACTACAGGGAACAGTAATAGAGCTACGTCTGGATTTCCTTCCCCGCAACACCACTGAGGAGGGATAATCCCTCCTTCAGCCTCAGGGCAGCGTGATCGGCTGGAAACCACAACTCCAGAGAAGGGCAGGAAGGAGAGAGGAGCAGGGCTCTGAAGCAGGTTGCTGTAAGCTCTGGCCATCTCTGGATCCCCTCTGCTGCACGCAGAACTGCTCTTCCTTCTGCGGGGAGGGCAGCCCCGGCCGCATGACGGGTGGCAGCTTCGCAAGGGCCATCTCGAGGCCATTGCCTCCCCTGGCTTTAACCGCAGGAGCGAGGCGACTCTACCCAAGTAGATCAGTGTCCTCATCTGGAAAGCGGGATGGCATCACCCACCTACCTCACACGAGGGTTGTGAAGCTAAATTAATTAATGTTTGTAAAACACTTTGAGATCCTCGGCTGGGAAGGTGCTAGAGAAGGCAAAATATGGTGATTAGCACCCAGGTACCACAGCAACGTGTGTAAAAGAAATGCGACTCTTTGCATTCAGTTAGCGGATCCTACCCACACACAAACACATGCTTTGCGGGACCAGCGCCGGCCGGCCCGGGCACAGGAAGGCTGCACACAGTCGGGTACTTACAGACAAAGGAAAAAGCCTCACAAAGCGCACTCGCGGAGCTCATCAGACAACCGTTATATGTTGCCGCGTTATAATTCAGGACCCCTTTTAGATACAAAGCTAAGGCTTTAGGAAAGAGAATTAATTCACGTCCCCTTGCTATAGAATTTACCAATCAAGGGTTGTTAAAGTCCTCAAAAGGTTCAGACCAAATGGAGGTATCATCTTGACTATGTCTAACTCATTTCTCCTCCTTTAAAGCAAGTACCATCAAATCATGCAGCGCTCTGTCCATGGTAGGGAGTAACCAAGACCCTTCCTTACGGTGGACAAAAAAAACGCTCTGTGATTCATACTTATCAACCTTTAACAAATTCATCACAATTAATATTTCAAACTTATTTGAAAAGAACAACCTGGAGATGTTCTGCATTTGTAGCTGCATGCTGGAATAGAGTTACTCATCAACAAGTTTTCTCCTCTGTCTTTTCCAGGCTCCTCTCTCCCGCAGAAAGCCTGCAGAGCAGCATGCAGCCGCAGAGCCCTTGCTGTCCTGGGGTCAAACCATCAGGCCAACTAGGAAACCTGAGGCAACTCCTGTACCATCCTTGTTGGCAGGCCCCATCTGTCAATTTGAATTTACCACACTCTGTGACTTAAGGCAATGATGTCCCATAAGGGTAGAGCATGGGCCGGAGCTCATCTCCGCCCTACCTCTTCCATCCCTTCTTCTACTGCTGGCCTGCTCGGAGTTGCCTTGTTGGAAGGCAGGTCAATGTGTGGGCAGTGGAACCCACTGCGGAGAGTCTGCTCTGGAGGGCAAACTCTAGCCCTGAACCCATACCAGAGTGTAGCCATTCTGCTGGAGGCCACCAGCCTTTAGTGCCTTGGCCACTTTCCCCAGGAGAGACTGGTGAGGAATTTTAGGATCTGTGGTAAGGATAGGATCTGGTACAGGTCCCTTACATGGCTAGACTTGGGAAATAGATCTTCTGTCTGGTAAGGGGTTTGGGTCTTCAACTGACCCAAAGGACCAGGAATTACTTCAAAGGCAAACAAGCCTCGTGCCACCAACATTACTAACGTTCTACAACACAAAGGAGCTGTGAATCTAAAGCTGCTACAAAGGGACATACAGCAATTGTTCCTAGCTTTTCAAGACCTTAAAACCACACTGCTTTAACGACATGGGCCCAATGTCTTTTGCATTCTGTGGCTGCAGAGTAGCAGTCAGCCTGGTGATGCATCCAGCCTGCCATGCTGAGCTGGGCTGAGCTCTTCATTGTCTCTAAACCAATTTGTGGAGGGTGACCTAATGTATATTAATCATGATACAGAAATGCTAAGAAATCTCCTGGATCAGCAAAAACGTTATGCACTTGGAAGGCTGGAGAAGTAGAGAAAGGACAGTCTGGCTGAAGTCCACTGACATTGATGGACTTACAAAGAATGTAATCCATAGTCTGTCTTCTCCAAAAGAGGAAAAGGCAGACTCCCCTGGCCAGATCACTAGCAAACCCCACTTAGTTCTTTCCCAAAATAGCCTTTTTGGTCCAAACTCCTGAAAAATATCTGTCCTTGCTTGAACCGTACCCATGCACACGCTGCCACTGCCCTCAGTGAAGAAGCTCAGACCCATATTCCCAAAGCTGTTTGTGTGGCCCTGCTCAAGGATCTAGGCTATTGACATTAACATCTAACCTGGATGAACGTGAAAAGCTCCTGGCTGGTTCTACTTGAATAAGCAGCCGAGGGTTTGCATATTTATCGTATTTATCAAATGGCGTCCGTGGCCTGAATGATCAAGACTGCGGATCTCAATGGCATGCATAATTACCGTGCGTTTGTGGGCATGCAAATAAAAACATTTGTGCTCTGGCAAGTCAGGCTGATAATTCCATAAGAATACATTTTCTTGTGAAACTGTGATACAGCACTTTGCAATAGCTTGCGGTGCCCCAAGAATGGCTTTTTTTTTTTTTTGACATACCCACGTTCTTGACAAGGTGGAACAAAGGAATTGGTGGGGGCAGAAGGAGGGAGCTTCACCTAATCTGCACATCTTTAACTCCTGAGAAAGAGCAATTCTGGGAAAAAGTACGACAGGTTGGTATTTTTCTATTCTGCTCTGAAGTGGTTTGCTCCCTCATCAGAACTCGGGGCCGTTATGCAAAATTGTCTCTTGAGGAATTTTTTTTTTATATGCAAAGCTATAACTCCACTGCAATTCAACAGAAAGCAACGAGCAAAGCCCTTTTCCAATGCAATTTTGGGCTGCCTGGCGAACAGAACCCAAAGCGCAAAGGGAAAGGATCGATAGGTAAGTATTGATTTCTCGACACAGCTGCTGCGCTGCGTTTCCGAGGCATAGGAAAGCAGCTATACACCAATGACCAGGCCTGGAGCTCCTTCTGCTGGTTCATGCATAATTCTGCACTGTAGCAGAATAGAAAGGCTGCAGCTGCACAGCACGATCGTTCGGCAGGGTGGGGGTTGTGGAAATCTGTTCAGAATGAGAAAAAGAAAACTCCAGGGTTTATAATTTGGCTAGACAAAACTGGTAAAGAGAGATGCTGCGCCGTCAGTTGAAATCATGTCTTTTTTTAGTACTAGGCAACGTCACTTGGAATCTTTTGGATTTCTCAGCTCGGAAGAAAACAATTAAAAAGATTTAAAACTGTCTCTTTTTTCCCTTCTAGTTCTTTTTTTTCAAAGCATCTCTTCTATCTTTTGCAACCGAAACGATTCTACGATTCTATGATTCTATTTGAAGTTCCAACACGACCAGTAGCATTTGAAGATTTAGGAGCATGCTATTAACTCACAGGCAATCCACATGGACACGTGCAGACAGAGCCGGTTATAATATAGCAGGACAGCTACATTAACAGTGCACCTTTCCAGAGTTCATACAAAACATACACAGAATACACGCAGATTTGCTTATATATAAGCATGGAAACTTCCCTTACAAGCTGTTTATTCCATCCTCAGCCTTTAAGGTTTTAGCTTATACTTTGATCAGGAGCTATTTCATAGGCTTTTCTTCCACCTAGCTGTCTAGCTATCATGCTGTCCATTAGCCAGAGTTGAGTGGGAGACAATAAAATATCAACCCCTGCTTTCTCTACTGGCCGAGCGGAGGCTGCTGGTCGGAAAGGAAGCAGTGCTGCGCTGAGGAACCTCTCATCTCCCTCGGATTGCGACAGCAGCTGACCCAACTTGCATCCTTCAGGAGCCACGCTCAGAAATCCCCTAAATTGTGTTTCCTCCTGAATATTGTAACCCATACACAACGTGGGGTAGCCAGGAACATACCTCAAGAACACTAATTGTTGTACGGTTAATTACTCCTGCAATAACGACAAGTTAAAGAAATAAGAAGCAGTAATGGCTGAACGGGTACAGCCCTTTGCCTTTCTTGAGCAC